CCGAACAATTAATGAGTAAAATATTTCTAAATTACACGGATATATCAATCACCAAAATATCATGTATGCATCTTTATACATATTATACGGTTTTGGGGGGAGAAATGAGGAGTACGTTACTATAGTCACATGCATTCAGACAGAAATGTGTAATATGTGTATATAAGTGTATGGAATGTGAGTAGACTGTATACTTTTATTGGATTGACTTCTATCTTCACCAGAATCGTTAATCACACTCTCCAGTGAAGGCGTAGTTAGCCTCTGTGGTATTTATTAAAAGAAAATTGGCTGACATCGTTTTTCGATTGACTAATGAAAGATATTTACATAGACTAACTTAAAATAAACCGGATGATATATGCTGTATAAAAAGGGAATAAAAGGCTCAGTCTGTAATCTATAGAAGAAATACTAAGGTTGTAAATGGAAATTATTTGTCCCAAGAAAGACAATTTGAATACTTTTGGGAATCAGAGTTTTTAACAATCATTGACAGTTTGTTCAATCTAATCATGTTCAGCTTTCTTCAAAATTGAATAGATCACTGCTTGTTCATTTGTAGCTTCATATAAACGGGTTGATTATGTCTTTATTGCCGGTTACTTAAAAAAACTTTTTTTAGAAAATACTGTTTGTTGCATTTTGAGCTCGTCACCTAGATAAACATGGATTTGTATTGATATTTCCATAGAGATTTGAATTCAGTGCTGGTGGCTTAAATAATAAGATTAATTCTAATTATGAAGAAAATTCTAACTCATGTGTATGAAGACAATGATCAGGCGTTTAAAATTATAGGTTTAAGGTTTGAATCTATTTGGTATTTTCTATTCTGCAATGTAATCAAGTGAATTTGTTAAATAGAAGGAACATTTCTATGTGAATAACATCGTCAACTATCATTTAAATAAAAATGAGGGATCAAAGTCAGAATTTCTGTCTTAAGACCAGCACTCAATCTTTGGGTCAGTGGGTCAACTAGGATTTTTGTTTTCAATCACTTCATTAATTAGTAGTACCAGTCAACAGTTGAAATCAGTTTGTGGAGAAAGTGTTATAAATACGTATCTTATCCATATAATTAGCCGAATCAAGAATATTTTTGGGAACTAGACGATCCTTAGACTATATTTTTAAATAAAGTTTTATTTATATCACAGGTAGGTGAGCGTTTTTGCCGAAGACGAACTCAAACTAGCTGCATATTTATATCATAATCATAGAAGTTATCAAGATCAGTTTATCAACTGAACGCCGACTTTTGATGGAGCGTTTGTTCTGTGAATTGGATGGTTTGGTCAGGTAGTTTGTGCTGATGATATTGTTCAGAAGAACGATGAAAGCTCCACTTCCAAACCACCCAGCCTAGAGAACAAAACTCCATCAAAATCATCCACCTGAGCTACAAATCTTCTCCACCATCTCTGAACGCAAACTTTCAGTGATGTAATTTTATTATATCATTTTGCTTGTAGTAATTAAGAAAACTTTTTTTAATGTTATATTTTTCAGTTAAAATTTCGACTCAGGATTATTGAAGTTCATTGATATAAGTGCATGTCCCAAGGGAAAGTTGACTTCCGAAAGTGAAGATATATACACCTTCATTAACATATGGATTACAGTCAACATTTCATATCTGAAACATCCATTCAAGTTGTCAACTTATAATCTTGTTATTTTCATCTGAAGATCTTAATTAATTGTTTTAATGTCAAAAAAAACTGGAGGTCATCAAATTGAATCGCATGAATAATTATCCTAATATTTGCTTTTTATACTTTTAAGCATATTCTAGTGTTCAGTGTATAAGAACGAGAATAGTAAAGTTTCTCAAATCACTCAAATACCAGTATAGATCTGATTTTAAACGAGGTTTTTTTAAAGAATTTACTTGAAAGTGTTGCATTTTCATAATCTATAATCTATGAACGAACCAATCAGATTTAAGATAAGGGGTCATAGATTTTGGCGCGAGATTCATCCACTCATCTGGCTAACATTTTATAGCGTAAGACTAGCCAGCTTACCTGAAGAAATACATTGACTTGAGTATCAGCAGCAAAAACCTAAACAACAGTGCTGAATCTAAGAAACTTTGTGCCAACATTCGGAATATTACATTAACTGCGGCATTTTAGCACACTTAAACATTAAATTATGTAGTGATTTCTATTATAAGTAACAATCATGTCAATTATAACTGTGTAGATAATGACATTTTCTTCTTCACTTTCAAAGTTGTCTATTTGTTCTTGGATGGTACTCAGTATATACAACACTTACGAAAGCCTACACTTATTAAAGTAAATTCAAAATATTACCGTTGGTTTAGTTTGTGAACTGATGTATAATTTTAATCAGATTTTATTACCTAAGAATTATATTAATTAAGATTAGATTTTATGTTACTAATCGGTAATAAATGATCGCATTTATTTAAATAATTCAACCAAAAACCATGTTCGTTAAATTAGCATTTTTGTTAAAACTTGTTGCTATGTACCCTATTAACGATACTGCCAATTAAAGAACAGTGAATTATCGACCGGACCAATGACGCATAAAACCCACACGAGCAGTCTAGTATCTTTATAGGTCCTTCTTCACTGCCTAACCCTGCCCGTTGAGTCCAGAATACAAATCTCAGCGATATGAATCATGTATTTCAAACAAACTGGGTTCATATACAAACCAAACAGACCACATCAAACCATAAAAGAGAAAACAACATTTGTGCTAGAACTAGCCAGAAATGGTTGTAAATGTGGGAGACTGTAATTAATAGATTGGATATAACTCAAGAAAGGTGAACTGCATAGTAATAATCTATGGATCAAAATAAAGCTTATAATAAGAGGAATATAGATATACATAATCTAGTTACTCAATAGTTATAGAATAAGAATATATGTGTAGTATTAGTTCATAAATAGATCCCAATGGTTACCATTCAATATACTCGTCGGGATATAATAATTTTTAACTATTTTTACATAGTATTGTATTAATCTTAGTATATTTTTACTATACATAATTACATTTACTGTCCAATATATGTTTACAATGATGTTGGGTTTTTTAATACAAGTGCTCTCTATCTTTTTTCCTTTCAAAGTCCTTTTGCTATATCTAGGTTAATTACTGGTATCTAGTACCACAGATGCGTTAGAAATATTGCTGGCGTCTGCTGGGATAACCGGGTAAGTAATAGTGAGGTTAGATGCAGGGTGTTAGGGGATAATGGTAAATCAGGTGATGAGTTTGTGAATCATCATCGACTGAGATGGTTGGGCCACGTGTTTCGTATGCCTGAACACCGATTACCACGATTAGTGTTGGGGATGGTTGGAAGAAAGTTAGGGGCAGCCAAAACAAAACGTGACATCAGTGCTTGAAGTCACTAACTTCTAGTCTGAGCCATGTTGGTAGATGCAGACTACTTGGTTGGGGTCCGCGTGACTATCGTAACCAATAGTTGGAGACTCTCGGTGACATGGCTCAGAATCGATCACAATGGCGTCGGTGTATACTATGTAAAAATAGTTAAAAATTATTATATCCCGACGAGTATATTGAATGGTAACCATTGGGATCTATTTATGAACTAATACTACACATATATTCTTATTCTATAACTATTGAGTAACTAGATTATGTATATCTATATTCCTCTTATTATAAGCTTTATTTTGATCCATAGATTATTACTATGCAGTTCACCTTTCTTGAGTTATATCCAATCTATTAATTACAGTCTCCCACATTTACAACCATTTCTGGCTAGTTCTAGCACAAATGTTGTTTTCTCTTTTATGGTTTGATGTGGTCTGTTTGGTTTGTATATGAACCCAGTTTGTTTGAAATACATGATTCATATCGCTGAGATTTGTATTCTGGACTCAACGGGCAGGGTTAGGCAGTGAAGAAGGACCTATAAAGATACTAGACTGCTCGTGTGGGTTTTATGCGTCATTGGTCCGGTCGATAATTCACTGTTCTGTAATTGGCAGTAACATTACATCATATAATGATAGGGCAGAAGGCCACAAGTTACAACACGAAGTAGAGTCAGATACACAATGATCACTAAAGTATTTTAATGTTTCACCACTAACACAACTTTGCTTAGTTTGAATAAAACACACATGGATACAAAAAGGTTACTATTAGTATTATTATTATTATTACTCAATATTGGTCAACGTAAATCTCAATTTAGAATCTTCGAGAATACTTAATTAGAAAAGAACAAAAAGGAAATGCAACCAAATTATATATATATATATATATATATATATAAATGATGAAGCTGAGTAATTTCTGTATTTTGAAATGTAAACATAACTCCCTTGGTGTTGTTTTACTTGTATCTTCTCATTATTATCTAGGACTGCATTCGAGTCCCGGAGTCAACATCAACTCAGCGATACAGGTTTATCCAGCACACCAGTGCGAAATAGGACGAAACGCACATCAAACTGGATTCCACTACTAGCCACTCTCCATCTTCGCTTAAAAAGCTATTTCGAGGCAGTCCGCATGAGATTTACATATGCCAACATGAGACTGATCAATTTCAGTCCTAAATAACAATGGGAAGATACAAGTAAAACAATATCAAGTGAATTTAAACTTCACCCCATTTCACGATTAGGTAGCAGTTAGGACTCAGTAACTAAGTTGATGACACAATGACTTTTAAAGCGAACAGTAATTGGTTCAAGTCCCAGAGTGAACATCAACTCTGCAATGCGGATACATCCAGCTGACGAGTCCTAAATAGGACAACACACGCAATAAACTGGATTTCACTACTAGCCACTATCCATCTTTGCATAAACATAACTATTGAATTGGTTACAATGTTATAATGAATTTTACAGAACCAAAAAGACAAATGATTTCTTTTAGTAAATTAAAGTATACTACTATAAATAGTAATTCATTACTTCACTATGAATTAAGGTTCAAATTATTATTATTATTATCACCATGTTATTTATTACTATTTTATTAATGATAAAATACAATTGTAGATAATAATGACATGAGTGAAAAATCAATCAAACTTTTATGAATACAGATACACTTTTTTTTGTGTTTTTTAAATTTTAAAATAAGCGGAACTAATTATGCAATAAAATGGGCTTCATGAAATAAAAAATGCAAGTTAATATGAATAAACTATAGAGAATGATTGATCGATTGATAGAGAAGGAAACGAAAATTAAAAGGAAGGTATGACTGCATTATTGAATGAAAAAAACTAGGGGGGTAGAGAGAGAGTGGGAAAGAGTGAATGAGTGAGGAGTCATCATCGAGGTAGAAATACACTTCTTTATTTCGTTGAGATTGTCTCCTCAATTTGTTTCTTTCGTTTGAAAATGGATAACATAAATACTGAATAGTAATAATAATAATAATAATGAATAAATAATTAGATAAATTTTCATAATCTATCACCTAACAGACGAGATTGTTGCATAAGCATCATTTTTAATTCATCACGATTAATTTTCCCATCATTATTTACATCCCATTGATTTAATATGACTTTTTTAAAAAATTCCAAATCAGCTTCATCATAATCCTATAAAACCAAAAAAAAACAACAAACAATTATGAATATATTCAGATGACTAAAAAAATTTAAAAAAAACAACCGCGGAACTATAATTCATGGACAAACCAATCAGATATAAAATGACAGATCTCGGATTTTGGCGCGAAATTCATTTATCTATTTCGCTAAATAGAGTTTTGGCATTATAGCTGATATTAGTTTGTGATGAAAACCATAAATCTAACTCCTAGCTTTAAACATCAACTGTAAATCATATTTCTAATTACTCACACTGGTTTATAACTCTCAATTGGTCCTGGTTATTTGGTGGATACTCTCAAGGTCAGTCTAGAGTCACTCAAAGGTTGTCCATAAATTATAGTCTCACCAAAAAAACAACTGAAAAAACCCAGATTAAACTCATTTGCTATTGATCGTTTGAATCTTCTCAATTAATGGTTAGGACTGCAGTCGATTAATGTGTTATTGGCAATATGTGCATGCTGTTCGGATTGCCTTGATATTGTCTTAGGATACAAACATTTTAAGCAGAAATAGATGGTGGCTAGTAGTGGAATCCAGGGTATTTTACTTTCAGGTATAATGTTCCAAAGGAGTGTTGTAATAGATATCACTTTCCTAAAAATTAACATAACCTGGATTACATGGATTTTTAGATTCGAGATTTCATATCTTTCAAATTTCTTTGATTGAAATTAGAATTTCAAAGGCCTACAACCTTAGCTTATCTTGAGTTATAAAAAATAACTCAATAATATAAATAATGGTATCTACCATCTTATTGATGTAAAGTTCGCTACTTGATTAACGCAGAGTACGGTATACAACTACGGCAGTTGGACGTATAGAATCCCCACAATCGCAGATCAAAAGATAGAAGAAGACCGGAGAAGTGCTTGTTAGGTTAGAATCAAGATATACAGAAAATGATGGAGTATTTATAGATATTAGCGTTTGTTATATCAACATTATAATCCAATGTTATGCTACTGTCCAATAATAACATGCCCCGTTGTTATTCTAGAAAGCCCTACTATATTCTGATTGGATGGAAACTCTTCGGCTCTTTTAGAGCCTCTAGAGTCTCCATTTTAGTTCTCAGTAGCCATTGCAACAATTGATGTGTGCGATAATTTAATAAGATGAAAGGTTACAAGTGCTTGAGTGAAATAAATTGCACACACGTTTATACATGTGTTACTTCCTGTTAAAAAACTGTTATAAAACAGTATCTGGGTGAAAACAGTTTTTTTCTTCTTGGAATAAGCATAATCGACTATAATTTCCTGGTTTTCAATGGTTGTCTAGGTAAAATCATTCCGTAATGTATAACACTATACAATATGGAAATAATTTGATATTCATATTTTGTCTGGTCAGCTGGACGATCTAGACTTCGCAGATGATCTGGCCCTTCTATCCCAAACGCAACAGCAAATACAGGAGAAGACGAACAGTGTAGCAGCAGTCTCAGCAGCAGTAGGTCTCAATATACACAAAGGGAAAAGCAAGATTCTCCGATACAACACAGAATGCAACAATGTAATCACACTTGACGGAGAAGATTTGGAAGATGTAAAACCTTTACATATTTGGGCAGCATCATTGATGAACACGGTGGATCTGATGCAGATGTGAAGGTGCGGATCGGCAAAGCAAGAGCAGCATATTTACAACTGAGGAACATCTGGAACTCAAAGCAACTGTCAACCAACACCAAGGTCAGGATTTTCAATACAAATGTCAAGACAGATCTACTGTATGGTGCAGAAACCTGGAGAACTACCAAAGCCATCATCCAGAAAATACAGGTGTTTATTAACAGTTGTCTACGCAAAACACTTCAGATCCGTTAGTCAGACACTATTAGCAACAACTTACTATGGGAGAGAATAAACCAGATTCCAGTGAAGTAAGAAATCAGGAAGAAGCGCTGGAAGTGGATAGGACAAACATTGAGGAAAGCATTCAACTGCATCACAAGGCAAGCCCTCACACGGAATCCTCAAGGTCAAAGGAAAAGAGGAAAATCAAAGAACATATTATGCCGAGACATGGAGACAGACATGAGAAGAATGAACAACAAGTGAATAGAACTAGAAAGGGAGGCCCAGGACAGAGTGGGTTGGAGAATGTTGGTCGGCGGCCAATGCTCCATTGGGAGTAACAGGCGTAAGTAATTAAGGCAAGAAAACAAGTCTGTGAATTCATTTAATTAATTGGAACTTTAATAAACTTTTGATTGTATAAAACATCAGAAAGAAGATAGAATACTACTAATCACAGGTGACAACATAAAATCTCTACTTTATATTGATTCATTTCTTTTTTTCTATACAAATAAATTATATATACATAATATACACATATCTAGGATCTAGAATCGTTATTTCTGTCTACTTACTTCTTGAGCTAATTCCAATAAATCTTTAAGGAATCCTGATAATTCTTCATCTTCTATTGTACCATTTGCATCCTAATGTAACGAAATATCAATTATTATTTATTTTATCACGTATATAATAATCATTCATTGATACATGTTGATAAATATCACTTATTCCAATAGTTAAAACAAAATAAGCAAAGTATTCAAAAATCTTAATTGCTTAAATCGACTTTTGAAATCAACTGTGAAAATACTACAATTTCTACAAATCTCTGTATTGATAATGATCATATGGTTACTAGTGACTAATTTCAAAATAGATTTCTTGAAGTCCTAGTGAGAAATGGTGACAAGTAGAGTCCAACCCATGATGGGTGAGAGACAGTTATTCATCAGACATAACGGATGAAAGATTGTGCAAAATCATGAATCAATTGAAGTTAAACATTAACACTATTGGATACAGACTCAGTGGTCTATAAGTTAGGCATTAGAACACAAGAGAGAAGATATTGAGTCCAAGCCCCATATCAGGACGAAACGGCTATCCAGGGATTACAGGTTTTCAATGGTGGTCTAGCTTAGATTGATTCGTGAATTCAACTGTGAAAATGATACAATCTCCACCAATCCCCATATTGCTAATTGCTTTACTTGGTAAAGATAAAACTTACTTTTACTATATAAAATGTTGTCATATATGATTTATTATTACACGAGGGTCAAATAATATTCAAACTAACTTACAACTATTAAGATATTGCTTGGATTATATTTAAATATGATCATCCCTAATGAATTATCCTCATCAGTTTAGATTTGTATTAAGAAATATTTTTATGTTTAACTTAACTACAATTTTATAAGTTAATTGTAAACATCAATTAATGCTGACTCGTTGGTTTACAAGTTAAGCGTTCATGAATGGTCATAGATGTGAACTGATGAAGCGTAACATACTAGGACGAGACGAGCGTTCAGTACTTTCTAGTTTCCAATTACTTACTTACCTACGCCTGTTACTCCTCGTGGAGGACCATAGGCCGCCCACCAGCATTCTCCATTCAACCCTGTCCTTAGCAATCCTTTCCAGCACTTCCTAGTTGTTATTTATCCTTTTCATATCTACTTCTATCTTCCGACGTATTGTGTTCTTTAGCCTTCCACTTTTCTGCGTCCCTTCAGGATTCCAAGTTAGGGCTTGTCTTGCGATGCAGTTTGATGATTTCCACAATGTATGTCTTATCTATTTCCATCGTCTTTTTCTAATTAACTCCTCAGCTAGAAGCTGGTTTGTTCTCTCCCACAGTAGACTGTTGCTAATGGTATCCGGCCAATGAATGATAGGTAACTTGCGTAGACAACTATTTATAAACACTCCTACCTTCTTGACGATGGTTGTAGTAGTTCTCCAAGTTTCATCTCCGTGCAGTAGAACTATCTTGACGTTCGTATTGAAGATTCTGACTTTGATATTGTTTGAAAGTTGTTTTGAGTTCTATATGTTCTTCAATTGTAGTTGTTATAAAGCTTTATATTCACGTATCATGTCCGTTGGTACTTATTAGGAAGGTATCTCTGCGGTAATTGTAGTCTCATCTATCACCAAAACTTTCAAGATTATTGGTGAATCTAGCTAACAAGTACTAGATTGCAGGAAACCTTCTTTTAGGGTCCTTATGTTTCCTACGTTCAAACATTTATTTATCTCATTATAGTGCATGCATGGATAGGAGATCCATTACGGAAATCACCAAACTGCATCACGAGGAAAGCCCTAACTTGGAATCCTGAAGGGAAACGGAAAAGAGGAAAGCCGAAGAACACATTACGTCAGAAAATAGAAGCGGACATGAGAACGATGAATAACAACTGGAAAGAGTTGGAAAGGAATGCCCAGAACACGGTTGAATGGAGAGTGCTGGTGGGTGGGCTATGGTGCTCCACGAAAAGTAACAGGCGTAAGTATGTAAGTGCATGCGATTTGGAGTCACTTAGACTAGAGAGTGATAATGTACATTGATCCAGAGAATTCAATCGGTAATAAATTACTAGACAAACATGGGATCACTTTTTAATGATCAGTTATTTGTACATTTGAAACTGATTTACAATGTTATATAATTTAAAATTAAAAGTCATCAGTAAATGATTGATCAGTTGAGCTTCTTTTTTTCTTCAACAAACATAAAAAGATAAAAAACAATCTAATTTTATGATTTAGGAAAACTTTCCAAAAATATCTAACATTAGATGATAAATTTACTGATTATGAAAATTTTAAGGATAGTTATTTCATTCTTAGCTATTCGTCGAATCGATCTTATAAAGGATTAAACTCTAGAATATTCATATCTGTTAATGATCAAAGCGATTATGAGTTGAGAAATCATAGAACAATGATCACCAATGACATTATTAGTAAGTCAGTCGTCATAAGTAACGATTATCTAAATCCATCAGCAACAACCATTTCAATGTAATAGTATCATTCTGCACTTTTTATGAGCTTAAATTAGAACAATGATGGTCACTAGTTAATGTACGATGGATTTGATGATGTAAATTAACAACAAACCCTTACCTGATAATGACTAGCACTGAAGCGTTAAATTTCTAGTCAAAAACCGTGATAAATAGAGTTCTACAATGTCTAGTGTAAGACAAACGTCATCGACAGTATTGGATAATTATTATTCTATTTCATGAATAGATTAATGCTTGAAATGTAGACCGTTTACTTTGAACTTAGTACTTGAAATTTATAGCGATTACTAGGATATCTTTAAATTATAATTGGAAATAGTTACCATGGGCCAGGAAAGTTCATCGTATACCACTGTGTAACTAAATGAATAAAACAAATATTTTACTTACAAGATCATAAAGTGAAAATGCTCGGTCGATATCAGCTGATGTAATTTTCGAAGCGTTCTATAAGAAAAATAAATATAAAGCAATTAATCCCTTTGATTAATTTCCATAGTGTAATAAAAAGACGAACATTATTAGAACTATGTGATGTCAATATTAACTCAATACATTTCAAGCAATCTGATCACACATATACTTGTTAAGAACATTTATATATAAGATGGTGGTTGGAGATAGTTAACCGTCATCTTATCTCAACATAGTGCACGTAATTTCGAGTCAACTAGACTAGTATATTAAAGATTCCCATTGTGAAAATTAGAACAACACATATAAGCGAACAATTGTTTTCAATTAGATCGTCATCAGGCTTTACTCTAATATACATGAATATTTATACGAAAATTTTAAACCAATCAAGGCAATATGAGTCAATAATCACAATGAAATAGAATAAGTCTCTACACATAATAGGTAAAAGTACAAGTTGATAGTACGAAGACAGGTGAACAGATAGTGGTAAGAATAATAAACTACAATAACAAAACTCTTATCAATAGTTAATCGTTGGAAATAGAAGGTCAAATAAACATGGGTAAATAGACTAGGAATAGTAATCACAAAACCTTAAAAATCATTACGTAATAAGATGTGTGTAAATAATTAGATAGTGAAGAATACAAAGAGGCGGATAATGACAAACAAATAATGGATGTGGAAATAAGGTTAACAATAACACAGATAGAATAAAATAAATAATAAAATTTAAAATAAATAAAAAAAAATTGTTAGTTAAGTTATAACTGGCCATGGAAGGGATAGGGGAGTCACGTATTTCTTCTGTACACATAGATTGGGGTTATATGTACGAATTCCAATGGCTTCAGCTATATATAGGAGACGGGAACGGACTCCGTCGGGAAATGATGGAGGTATACGATAGATAACTCGAAATGATTTCGATTTCTCTACTGCATGACCGCTATCAATAAGATGTGCTAGTATAGAACTGCGAATAGTTTTTCTCTGACCCTTTATGTACCAAGTTGGTAGATGTTCACTCATTCGTTGGTTAAGTTGCCTGGTAGTACGCCCTATATAGCTATCTCCACAGGAGCAGCTGAATTTGTAAATGCACATGGAAGAGGCCAACTCAGGTAACTTATCCTTCGTTTGAGTAGACATCGCTGGTCGACAAGAGAAGGTCAACGCAAGATTGGCTGCGTAGAATGTCTTGGTGATTACTTTGGTTAACCTATATTTCAGAGTGTCACTAGCCACATCCCCGTTGAATTGCACTTTCATGTATAAAGGTTTCTTACGAACAGTCGAAATCTCCGACTTCTTTATTATATCCTGCATGTATTTCTTGATGAACGCGCAGGGGTAGCCGATCTCGGTCAGTGAGTTCTTGAGAAAACTTAACCAACGAATGAGTGAACATCTACCAACTTGGTACATAAAGGGTCAGAGAAAAACTATTCGCAGTTCTATACTAGCACATCTTATTGATAGCGGTCATGCAGTAGAGAAATCGAAATCATTTCGAGTTATCTATCGTATACCTCCATCATTTCCCGACGGAGTCCGTTCCCGTCTCCTATATATAGCTGAAGCCATTGGAATTCGTACATATAACCCCAATCTATGTGTACAGAAGAAATACGTGACTCCCCTATCCCTTCCATGGCCAGTTATAACTTAACTAACAATTTTTTTTTATTTATTTTAAATTTTATTATTTATTTTATTCTATCTGTGTTATTGTTAACCTTATTTCCACATCCATTATTTGTTTGTCATTATCCGCCTCTTTGTATTCTTCACTATCTAATTATTTACACACATCTTATTACGTAATGATTTTTAAGGTTTTGTGATTACTATTCCTAGTCTATTTACCCATGTTTATTTGACCTTCTATTTCCAACGATTAACTATTGATAAGAGTTTTGTTATTGTAGTTTATTATTCTTACCACTATCTGTTCACCTGTCTTCGTACTATCAACTTGTACTTTTACCTATTATGTGTAGAGACTTATTCTATTTCATTGTGATTATTGACTCATATTGCCTTGATTGGTTTAAAATTTTCGTATAAATATTCATGTATATTAGAGTAAAGCCTGATGACGATCTAATTGAAAACAATTGTTCGCTTATATGTGTTGTTCTAACTAGACTAGTGACAATATTGTAACTTGGTCGATAGGATTCAATTTGCACTAAGAAGGACCTGACATACATGACATTGATCAACATCCAGTGATCAATCAATTGTAAATACATTTATATATAAAAAATAAGAGGTCAACTAGAATAGAAACGGAGGGTAAGAAGAGACAAGGATAATAAAGAAAATAATGTGAAAACAATTTGAAACCTCATCACTCTGGATAATAATAAGTTAATATTACCAGAGTAGATTTCAGGTGAGAACAAACTGTTTTTTAATACACAGACGGGGTTTGAATTTTCGTATAGCTAGAGCTACAATAAACTTTAGTAAACACCCTTTAACAAGTTTGTACAACACCATAAAAGTCGAGTTGAGATCAATTTTATGACCTGTTTCAACTATGCGTTTGACAAAAGAAGATGATATATATCGTCAATCCTCGTATATAATTATCGACTTAAATCGCGTTGGTGAACAACAGAATTAAATAAGTACAATAATTGATCAATGCAGACAACCAAAAGAAGGAAGCGAAACAAAATGTCATGTTGTGGATGTGGCGGATTAGACGACTTGATTTAATCAAGCGTTAATCAATATTTATAGCCAAATAAAAATAAGTTAAAGATATATGATGAATAGGATAAGAAGTGTACACACACATACGCTCATGTAAAAACAGTTAGGGTTAATAAGCGAACAAGTGGCAAGGTCAAAACGTGATTCAGGAAGAATGGATAAACTGGCCTATTCAGATGCTAGAATATGGGTTTAACATAGGAACCGACACTACAAACTGTTACTATAAAATGAAACATTGTATCTGGCTTCTTCCTGCTTTAAAGCTAATTTTGTTTTCTAGAATTCCATTAAGTATCATACAATTAAATGCAATTTATAGGTTGACTAACAGTTGAAGCTTTTATTACTGTTCTTCTGAAACCAAGTTATGTAAACGATCTAAAAGTGGAGTAGTAGTAGTGTAGTGAAAAAGGAATACGAGTGAGGACAATCGGATGTAATGTAGCACAAAATTACAGCACATCTCACTAAAATCTGAAAACCCTGCAGTAAATAGTAAATTTGCGAAATATCAATCCATCGTCTCAAACTTGACTGTTCCTTTTGTAAATATCGGTCTATAGTCTCAGATTTCGTTATTCATGCATTTTCATACCAACTGCTCTTCGTTCTCGCTCTTTACCCCTCGACCTTCCACTGAAATACATTCTATGTCTGAATATCGTTATATACTACTTATGTGGATATAAGTAGCTCACGCTACAGTAATAGTAGTAGCAGCACACTTTGAGAATTCACATGGTAAATCAATCAAGAACAATTTGTATTTAACAATAATAGATCATATATAATGACATAATATTTTCTCATTTATTCATTATTATTTGCTAAAATCTCATTGATTTCAAAGTTATTTACATTAACTACTACCTTTCTAATTGGTCTAGAAGATGATTAATTTGATTCTCTGTTTATTATTTTACATGTATTTGTTATGTCCCAGTAAGCATGATGAATGGTAACTTTAGGATCCATTTATGGACCAATACTAAACGTATGTTTTTACCGTATAATTGTTAAATAACTAAACTATTCATATTCCTCTTGTCATAGGCTTTATTTTGATTTATAAATTATTATTATACGTTTTACCATTCTTGAATTATGCCCTGTCTATTAGTCACTGCCTCCCACATTCACAGCTACATTTGGTCAAATCTTGTACAAATGTTATTTTCTATTTTATGGTATGTTGTGGTCTGTTTGATTGGTATATATACCGAGTATGTTTGAAATACAATGATTCATATTGCAGAGGCTGAGATTGGCGTTCTGGACTTAAATGGCTGGGCTAGACAGGAAGCAGAACCAATCAAAACTCTAGGCTGCTCATACGGGTTTACGCGTCATTGGTCCGATCGATAAGTCACTGCACTCTAATCAGCGGTCACAAGTTATAATAGCATTTTAAGCTGAAATATATATTTCAAGAAATTCTTCAAAGTTTATAGATGTATAGGTTACTTGTTATTTACTAAAATTAGTTAAGTAATATATTCATTCCATTATTCTACTCAAGAAAATACAATATTAATTTATTATTGTTATATACTGATGAGAATAATGAATGATAACTGTTGGGATCTGTTTCTGGATTAACATTATACATACATTTTTATCGTATAATTGTTAAGTAACTAAACTTGTCATATTCGTGTTCCTCTTATTACGAGCTTTATTTTAACCTATTAACTATTAATATACGATTAACCATTCTTGAGTTATGCCTGGTCTATAAATTATTATCTCCCACATTCACATCTACTATTGGTTAAGTTTTGTACAAATGTTGTTTCCTATTTTATTGGTACGATGTGGTCTGTTGGGTTTATATATAAACCCAGTATGTCTGAAATACATGATTCATATTGCAGAGGCTGAGATTTGTGTTCTGGACTTAACAGGCAGGGTTAGGCAGGAAGTAGGACCGATAAGGTCTCTAGACTGCTCGTGTGGGTTTTATGCGTCACTGGTCTGGTCGATAAATCACTGTTCTCTAATTGGCAGTATCATTACTTTATGTATTAATAGGACACAGGGCACAAGTTATAACAGTTATACTACTTATAAATCCTTTGTATGATAACATGAGAGAAAGAATGTTCCATATTGATCCAACAGTTTAAATAGATTAAAATTACAGTTTGTCATTTGTGCTTTATACTATTCATTTCCTTTTAGGCATTGTATTGGCTTGTGTCAATGAGAAGAAGATATCTTGATTTACATTATCCACCTCAAAATGTATATTACTACAGTATTATAATATAATCATAAGAGTTTGATTAAGATTACCTTGAAAATTGGTCTGCATAAATAATTCTCTTTAACAGGAAGTAGTCTAAAAAGAGTTGGAATTATTGAAAATAATGGTTAATGATGATGATTATTATGATATAAATAACATTTACAATATAAATAAACAATGTTAGTTTGAACAACATCTTGCTTCTAACGGTAGTAAATAGGAAAGCATACTCTACTTAATAGTAATAATAATAATAATTTCAGTAGTTGGGACCATGAGCCAATTGAAGCTAGACCACCACGGAAAATCTGGAAGGACTGAATGACCATTTCGTCCTATTTTGGGGCTCCTCAGCAGTGAGAGTCTAGGACCCCGCCCCGCGAGATTCAAACCCACGACCAGTCAGTCTCGCGCGCGAACTCTTAACCACTAGACCACCGGGCCGGCATCTAACGGTGTTAATGTCTAACTTCAACTGAGGAGCCCAACAATGGGACGAAACGGCCTTCCAGTGCTTCTAGGTTTTGTATGATGGTCTAGCATCAATTGACTCATGATCTCAACTACTGAAATTACTACAATCTCCACAAACCGATTTTTTGATGATGATAATAATAATATTCGCTGTTTTCATACCATAGCGTCCAATATGATTTTAATATCATTCTGTAAAGTATAATCAGGATAGGCTTCTACATGAATCATTCACGTAGGTTAGCCATTACAAGATGGATTTTCAAAGATTTCTAATCATTACCTTGATCTGTCTACTATGAAACATATCATATAACAAAGTCGAGTTGTGTAGCCTAGTGACTTAATCGTAAGTTGATCACTAAAGTTTAATAAGCAATATTTATTTGACAAAATACAACTAACAACTATGTTTTTTTCTTCAAAGTAATGATTAGAGAATATACAATGATAAACTGGATCGATTATTACACTACAAAAGGAATGATTCCACTTAGGAGAGATAAGGTTATATATTTTGAAACAATACAATTCATATATTATTTTGACTGAATCCCTGTATCAAGGATTGTCAGTAATATCAAATACAAGGTGAAAATAAAGTTGGTAAACAGAATTGATATTATTATTTATTTTATTTATTTCTTTAAACACATAAATATTAGTACTAAGGGGCACCGAAAACATATGCGCCACACATGTCGCTTCATTTGTGTGTGGGCGGCTATACTGCCTTGGTGACCAGACCAAAGCACGTGGTTTCCTTAGCAGGGGGGCACACAAGGAGCCTTAGACCTAAAGGTCTAATCCACAAGGCAGTGGTAGCCGGTAACCAATAACTGGTTCATACGCCATTTGTTTCCTTCGGATCCTGGAGCCCATTTGCACGATTGGCTTGAAATCAAGGCTTTCCAACTCCCCTAGGTGTACTCTCCGTGTCCACCAATTCGGTTAAAGCATTGGACGTTCGCTTTTTGTCCTCTGAGTTTCGTAAACAACACCCCCACCACTAGAAGGCAGTAAGTATATGTTTTGATATATGTATTCATACCTATTAATATTTAATATATATTTGAAACAAACTTTACCTTGCCATTTCACTGAGTTGAAGTTTACCATCTTTATTTTGATCGAATAACTGGAGCTTTACAAAATGAAATGAAAAGAATAATGACGAACTTCAGAACAATTTAAATACAACAAGTTTTTTCTGCATTTATTAAAGAATTTTAAAAAATTTCTACAATGTGTCATGTATCATCATGTTAGATTGTAGTGGCTTAGTTTCGTTAATCAATCCCCATGATAATCAGTAGTATATAAATCCTCAAACGTTGTTTGAATTCAGGAAATAATAAGAAGCGGCGACTACAGTTTATTAGTGGATAAAACGTATAATAAAGTTACAAGCATAACGAACTAATTTGCAGCAGAGAGGCTACTACGTGTGTGAGCGAGAGAACGAATACAGAGGTGAATTTATAGTCAATATCAACATTTAATCTAGAGAGATATATGTGCATAGGCTGTCACATCTGATCAAACCTACACGTTTATACAAACATAATAATGATGATAATAAAAGAAAGAAATGAGTGAATTGTTACTATGCGAATAACAATGTCTGTCAAATAAGTTAATTAAAGTGTTCGACAAAATTAACCATAAACAAAATTGATTGTAAGTTGCTATAATATCATCTAGTAAACTGTACTATACTATACAAATAAATATTTAAAACCAAACTGTTTTAACTTGTAATTTTGATAACTAAATAGTCTTTAATTTCTGTTACCACAACATTAACTGCTATCAAATACTTTTATGAGTAATTACTGGATTCGAGGCCCTGAGTTAACATCAACTCTGGGATGCAGATACATCCAGCTGACCAGTCACAAATAGGAAGAAACGTGCATCAAACTGAATTCCATTACTAGTCATCATCTATTCAAGCTTATAATGCATGTAAGTCAAGGCAATATCGAGGCGATCCACACAGGATTTACATATATCAATCAAAGACTGATCAATTGCAGTCATGAAGATCAATGGGAAGATTCAAATAAACAATATAAAGTGACTTTTAAATGCATATACTGTAATTAGTGCATTGTTAGTTCATGTTTTTTTCACTGTCCTGTTTTCTTTTTTTAAATAATTCGATATGCACTTTTATGAATACTTTTTCAACTCACAATCGTTCACATGTGCACCATTGGTTTGGAATCAGGTTTTCTAACTCCCTTAGGTGGACCCTCCATATCCACCAACCTGATTAAAACGTCAAACATTCACTTTTCATTCTCTCAATTTTATAAAAAAACGATATGATTTGTATGACAATATTTTCATAACTGTACTTTTATTTTACATTCATTTCATATAAAATGAATAAAACTATAACCAATAGAATATCAAAGAGTGATATATTATTAACAGAAAATATGGACCCCCCCCCAAAAAAAAGAAGAAATCAACTTACGATGGATGAAGTATACTCAATTAATTTTCCTTCTTCAATATTAGTTTCCGGTTTCGCTTCTTTCAATAAGTGTAGAAGAAATGACTACAGAAAATAGATCAATATATATTACAGGTTAAATAGCATATTATAGTTAACACATAATTTGGATTGTATAGATTTTATATTCAAGTGATTGTAAGAATTTTATTATGGGATCATTCTCATTGCAATAAATACACTACATCGTAGGCGTTAAAATACATCACTTGCATTTTCTTTAAAATACTCATCATCTCTGACCATATTTTTTAATCTACTCTAGATAGTCTTCTTACGTTGTATTGTTTATACAGCTTGTTTTTTCAGAACTGATCAAGGAACGTGAAGGAATATCATAGGGATAAGTCTAGTAAGTTAGAAGTATAATTTAATAAGCTGATGGAATTAAGAGTTTGAAACTAGAAGATTCTTACTTAAAAATGTGTTGGTGCACTGTAACAATGCGACAGACGCTGATTCATACCATCAGGATTCGTTCTCACATGACGCACATTACCCTACATCACACATGGTTTATTATTGAGAAATAAATTGAAGGCATTTGACACTATGAAGTTTGCGTATTTGTATCAGGCTAGTCAAGCAAGTCAGGAGATACTATAATTTAGCGAATACTTACTACACAGTGATGTTGTAGTGAGGAGGAACACAGGTGAGGACAATCGATATGTAGCACAAAGTTTACCGAGTTACTTGGTAAAATAGAGAAACCATATTCCAATAATTCATTCGCAAACTGTTCATCAACTGTCTCAGATTTCATTGTTTCTGTAGTGCTATACCAATTGCTTTCTGTTTCTGTTCTTCCCTCATTGATATATTCAACCTTCAACCACCAGACATTCTATTCTTGACTAATGTTATGTACCACTTATGTCGACATAAATAGCACGTAGCATAATGTTACCGAAATACTTTTCATTTGAATGTATTAAGAATTAGAACAATTCGATATTCAGATCATAGATTCATAATAAGACGATGATAGTGGTTAGTAAATATGACGTTTATTTAAACGCCAATACTAACTTTGGAGAATCAAATGTTTTTTAAAGCTTTCTCGATATAAAACTTTGTACAGTGGTGTGTTTAGAAATTTTCTATATCTTTAAGACGATAGTAATGTAATCAGTACTTTTCACAATAGTGTATCTATATATTCAAGTTAGTTAGTACATATTACAATTGACTGACTAACTGAGTTATGATTCTCATTGGTGCATAACATAAATAAGCTTTATGGTAAACTGGCATCGAACTATCTGACATATTGTTATATCCCGATGAGAATGATGAGTGGTAACTTCTGGGATCCATTTATGGATCAATACTATGGGTATATTTTTATCGTATAATTGTTAAATAACTATACTGTTCATATTCATATTCTTCTTATCATGAGCTTTATTTTGACGTATGAAGAGTTATTATACGACTTACCATTATTAAGTTATTCCCAGTATATTAATTACAGTCTTCCAAATCCACAGACACATTTGGCTAAATATTGTACAAATGTTGTTTCCTATTTTACAGTACGATGTGGTTTGTCTGGTTGGTATATAAACCGAGTATGTTTGAAACACATGATTCATATCGCAGAGGCTGAGATTTGTGTTCGGGACTTAATAGGCAGGACTAAACGGGAAACAGGACAAATAAGGACTCTAGACTGCTCGTAGGGATTTTATATGTCATTGACCCGGTCGATAATTCACTGTTCTCTAATTGGCGGTATCATCACGTTATGCACTAATAGGACACAGGCCACAGGCCACAAATTATAACACATATACGGTTGAAAATTTTGATAAATTTTAGTGAAACACTTGTTTCTATAGTTTAATTATCTTGTAATAATCTTTTTTCAACCAAATGGATTTTGTGGAGGTTTTTTTAGAAATTTCACTTGTTGAAATCATTAGTCAATTGAAGCTAGACCACCATGGAAAACCTGGAAGCATTAACACCGTTGGATGCCGGCTCAGTGGTCTAGTTGGATAAGCGCCTGGCGCGAGACTGATAGATCCTGGGTTCGAATCCAGAGGGGAGCGGTATCGTGGATGCGCACTGCTGAGGAGTCCCGTGCTAGGACGAAACGGCTGTCCAGTGCTTCCAGGTTCTCCACAGTGGTCTAGCTTAGATCGACTCATGAATTCAACTACTATAATTCCAAATTTTCATTTGGATATACTTTCAAGTTGAATGATTTCCACTTTCTGCTGGATAAGCTAAACCAAAGAAATCATTAAGATTTTCCCGTTAGAAACTAACCTGGTGTGGCAAAAAATAGGCGGAAGTTCATTATCATTATTATTGTAATTATCATCTTGAAAAACAAGTATGCATAGTTGCGATTGTACAAGTATGAAAATGAATTATAATCAGTATGATGTTGTGGAGATTGTTAAGTTTTTGATGGACATCATAAATTGATTGATGTAAGACCACCATTGAAAACCCGGAAGTATTGGACAGCAGTTTTGTCCTAGTACGGAACTCGTCAGCAGTAAGTATCCTTGGGCCTTGACCTCGTATGTGGACGCTTAGCCCTTATACCACTGAGCCTGGATCTAAAGATGTTAATGTCTAAATTCCATCGATCCATGAATTTCATTCATCCATTGTCTCAGATAGATACCTGTCTCTATCCGACATGGATTGGACTTTACTAGTCAAGGCTTCTAACTAGAATTCCAGGAAATCATGTTGGAGCCGGAAAGAGAATTCTTTGCTAAATCAATCTTTCTTATTATAAACTAACCTAACAACGGAAGTTGATAGTTATAATAACTCAAAAAGTGTTTTTTCCCTTTATATTTGGGCATTATTTTTGTAGATTTGTAAACTAAATAAGTCAACAAAATAATTTAGTCAATTTTCACCTGGTTGAAAAGTATTTTCTAAATTGTGTTAAAGTTTTCTTACGATCACCCGATTTTTTTAAATTTATGGTTATTTTAAATTCACTTGGTATTGTTTGCTTATATCTTCTCATTACTTATAAAGCTTGTGGCTTAAGTCAATATCGAGGTAATCCTCACTGGATGCACATATACCAACAAGAGACTGATCAATTGCAGTCTTAAACATCATTAGGGAGATTCAAACAAACAATACAAAATGAGTTTATAATTCATCCCATTGCACAAGCTAGTGGCTATCAGGACTCAGTAGTTAAATGGATAACGCGATGATGTTTGAAGTGAACGGTACTAGGTTTGAATCCCTGAGTGAACATTAACTTTGGTATAAAGGTACATCCACCTGATGAGTCTAAAACAGGACGAAACGCTGGATTCCATTGCTAACCACCATCCACCTTTAGTTATAGTTATCTTGCTTCTTAAATAATAATGAAAATATTAATCTATTCACGTTTACTATACTAAATAAGATATTTATGATTTCAGGCTAATTTAATTGTAAATGAAACTCGTTTTCTCTAGAAATCAATATCAGTCGAATAAGGTTTATGAAGAAGATACACTAACCTACTCTGGGATAAAACATCAATATCTAAATTTGTAAAAATTCATTTAGGAAACGTCAATCTTTACGAATAAGAGAAAAAACATTGTAGTTGATTTAGCTGACGGATAAGTGACAGTTACTTTGTTTTAGTCCGTAGCATAGTATTAGTTTTAAAACTATATCCATGGAATTGATAAATGTTTCTAATTTGTTAGATATAACTATTTTATTAAGTTATGGTTTGAAAAATGGTTTGAATTATTTTTTTTCCTGGTTAGCGTTTTTCTAGTGAATTAGTTTTCTACAAGATGGGATAGCCAACCCCATGCCCGACCCCCTTCCTTTATCCGAGCGTCAATTAGAGCTAGACCACTATGGAAAACCTAGAAGCACTGGACGGCCGTTTCGTCCTAATATGGAACTCCTCAGCAGTGCGCATCCACGATTTTAACTATTGAAATTACTAAAATCTTTACAAAACCCCTTCTGATAATAGTTTAATTTTTAAGATTTTTAAAATTAATTACAGTTGAACAGTTACTGATTCATTATTGTATAGGATCAAGGTAGCGAGACTATAATTTATGGACGAACCAATCAGATTTACGATGACAGGTTATAGATTTTGGTCATGGAATTCATTCATCCATTCGGTTAAATAGCGTTTTGATATTACAGCTTATGTTAGTTCGCAATGAAAACCCTAACCGTAACCATCAATTGTAAATCAAAATACTAATTCCTTACACTGGTTTATAACCCTCATTTAACACTAGGAAGTAGGTAGACATGTTCATGGTCACTTTAATGTCGCTCAATGGTCGTCCATAAATTTTAGTCTCAAAAAGTTATATTTATTTTATAGAGATTAATGTACTCTCATTACATGATGTATAAAGATATCTACCATTGTATGCATGCAATGAAATATTTTCTAGTCAAGTTGCTTATAAAAAAGAAATTATATTCTTATGAATTCTAAGTAAATGATAGAGTTTCTAGTTATTCACATAACATATACTACTTTGAATGACATTAGAAGTAACAAAAGATTGATATGAAGACAAAAATATAAGGTAATAGGCAACTAGGCCTTTCATGCTAGTAGTTTGTCTGTCAAAGTCAATATCAGTATCAAGTAAAATTTAATATCCGTACAGGTCCTTCGTAATGTTGAAAACACATAGAAGACAAATGATTACATAAGTTGTTGAAGACATAAAGACTTATAAATATGAACTAGATGTAAACTATGTAATTGATTTAGATATCACAAAAAAATGATCGTGTGATTAGGCATGTAACACATGATATAGTACTTGAAACCTTAAAATCATTACTAAATCACATACATCTTGAATAAGATCATTTAATACATCTGTTTGCACAAATGAAGTGTGTTATTTTCGATGCTCTTGTCATATAGAAGAGAACCAGAATTCTTCACTTCAGATAATTTTCCACAAGTTACATACAATTGTTACATAGATAAGGAATATAACTTCAATAGAATTATCTAAAGTCAGTCAGTCAGTAACAACGTAGACCTTCGTACTTGCGTACATCAGTTGGAGTTGATATGCCATATTACCACAGAGGTGCAGTTGTCCATTCAAATCCCATAATGGTAGGGGTGGTAAGAGCATAAGCAGTAATCAGAAAGATTAGGGTTTGATGTTATTCAAGTAGTATAATCCAGTAAATGAATTTCGAAAAAGAGAAAAAATGAGCAATATGGAGACTTCAAAAGATTAGAATTCGGGAGAACACAAAGAGTGGAGCCATTGCAAATGATTTTGAGCCATGTCATCCAACGTTTCTAACCATCGGTTGCTATCGTGTCGTGGATCCCAACCAGTTAGTCTACACCTACCAACGTGGCTCAATTCACTTGTCAATGACTTCATGAATTTGCACCACGTTTTGGCCTGACCGCCCCTAACTTTCTTACAATCTACTCCTACACCATAATAATTCTATATTATGCGTTATATTTCATTAAACATTTGATTCGTTCACACACTTTATGTATCTTAAAACAAATGAAAAGAATCAAGTAACCATTCAATGAATTCATTCAGGATATTTAGTTGTAATGATTGAAAATTGACCAAGTAAGTATTTTGAAAATAATTTTCATCTTTAATAATTAATTAAATGAATAATAGGTTACTATATTGGATTTATGGATGCCGGCTAAGTAGGCTAGAAGTTAAGCGTATACGCGCGAGACCGAAAGTTCTAGGTTTTAATCCTTTGTGCGGAGTCATGAACGCGTATTGCTGAGGTGTCACTTGCTAGGATGAAACAGCCATCCAGTGCTGACAGGTTTTCACTGGTGGTCTATCTTAGATCGACTCATGAATTCAACTATTAAAACATATTGATCACTTACTTTCAATTCATCAGCTTCAATATATCCACTTCTATCTTTATCAAAACGTTTCCACACCTATAAAAAGGATGTGAGAAATCAGAGAATAACACATGTAGTAAGCATAACAATGTGATAATTACACTCAAAAATGTTTCTTCTTGAATATGACAGGTTGAAAATCATAATTAATTGCTAGGTTCATTCTTCTCAATTCACATTTTTACACTGTCACTTATTCGCTTATTAATCCTGATTGTGTTTTATATGATCGTATGCATGCTATCTGCTTACTTTATTCATTATGTGTCTGTAACGTTTTGTTCGACGATAAGTATTGATTCACTGTTGGCTAAATCAAGTTGGCTCACACTCCTTCTCCATCGCGCATCTTTTCGCATTGTCGTTTTCGCTTTCTTTGCTTCGTTTCCTTGATCGTCTATCAGGATCTATGACTGTATGAAATATACATATTCGAAATTCATTCTAGTATTTGTCTTATTTGATTCCGTTATTCACTAACGCGAATTAAGTCAACAATTATATACGAAGGTAGCTCACATATATATTTCGATGACATGCAGCAAATGATCTACCTGGAGTCAGATCTCGGGTCAGTAAAAATCTTATTCACAAGTTGATAAATAATTTCTTGATATATCCGTAATATGTAAATAAAAATGAGGTACAATGAATAGCTTAGAACACTATGGTTTTATGTTAAGTGTGGTACTTTTGTTGTGGTCAGTTTGTATTCTGCACATTTTCTGTTTATTCAGTTTGAAATATTTTGTGAGAATTATCCAATCCAACTCTATCTCATTGTTTCACTCTTTACATTAATTTGATCCTGTATTGTTGTATTGAATTTTGTCAATGAGATGTCTCAAGTTAGGTATAAGACATAGAATTAGCATTCTTTACACTTAATCAATACTCTGACTGATCTCATGACAAAATTTGGTTTACATGAGAGTTGTACAAAATCAAAAAATAAAATAATTATCCATGTCACTTGTTGAAATCATGAGTCATTTGAAGCTAGACCACCATGGAAAGCCTGGAAGCACTGAAAGGCCATTTCTTCCTAGTATGGGACTCCCCAGCAGTGCACATCCACGATACCGCTCCCCTCTGGATTCGAACCCAGGAGCTATCGGTCTCGCGCCGGGCGCTTATCCAACTAGAACACTGAGCCGGCATCCAACGGTGTTAATGCTTCCAGGTTTTCCATGGTGGTCTAGCTTCAACTGACTAATGATTTCAACAAGTGAAATTTCTAAAAATCGCCACAAAACCCATTCTGATAATTATCCATGTATTTTGTCGTGATCTATGATCTCATTTATCATCAATTCTTAAAAACGGAGACATTTTAATCCCTTCGGTGCAAATAACCAGTATTATGTTATCCAGCTTTTATTGCCTATCAAAGTGATAAATGTGTGCTGTGATCATTAGCGTGAATAAATCGACGTCGTTAGACAAGTTATTTAAAGACAGGTAGTTAATGGTGATCAGTGGAAATCCTACATAACAGTTGTCAATAATGATTATCAGTAATTTAAAATAGACCAATCAATTCTATACACTTTGAACCGCACAACAAACAATTAGAATGTTGAATAAGTTTCCATCAAACTATTTAAATCTTTGCTAATCGTCTTTAGGCTGGAAACACCCTATTTCATGATTTCTAATGTACCACATAGTAAACTGCCTTCAGTTTCCCATATAGGATATATTATTGGTCAAGTTTTTTTCCTACAAACCCTATTAAACTATTTTATCTTAAAAAAGAAAACTATGTGAACCGATTTTTTAATTTGATCTCTTTTTTATATTTAAAGATTGTTAAGAGATCACAAAACTGCTCACAGTTGATTTAGTGAATTCAAGAAAAACAAAAGAGAAGAGAATAACATTATTGTAACTATATGGATAAATAATATGACTATGAATATGTAAATTTAAAATGATGTATAGATTTTTATCATAATCCCGATCTCTCAATTTTGGGGGAAATTTTCGGGTTTTCCTCCCCCACCCCCGAAAAAAAATTTGGGGGGGGGGAGATTGTAGTTTTGATCATTTTAGTTATGTGATAAGTTGCTAACTATTTATTATTATTGGAAAAAAACAGAATCGTTTTTAATATCTAAACAGTGATTAAATAAAACTATGATCTTTTATGATATGATTTATAGAGAAATAAATATAGGATTTCACAGGTTGAAATCATGAGTCATTTGAAGCTAGACCACCATGGAAAACCTGGAAGCACTGAACGGTCGTTTCGTCCCAGTACGGGACTCCTCAGCAGTGCGCATCCACGACCCCGCGCCCCGCGGGATTCGAACCCGGGGCCTAATGGTTTCGCGCGAGAGCACTTAACCATTAAAAAACTGAGCCGGCATCCAACGGTGTTAATGTCTAACTTCAACTGACTCATGATTTCAACCTGTGAAGTTTCTAAAATCTCCACAAAACCCATTCTGAAAATATAGGATTTGTATAAAATAGGATTATTGATTAATGATTTTCTTTTATAGACAGATTATCACATGTAGTCAACTATACCGTTAGCATTTTTTACATAAAGTGATCCTATGAACAAGAAATGGTTGCGCTTGCATTTAAACATGTGCACCATTTGACCAAGGCTTGGTCATATACAGGTTAGGTGTTCATACACGGGATTAAACTTTATGGGTTTCATCCTTCATGCAAGAGTTGTGCATCTGAAATAACCAGGAATTCAAAACTAAAACGAAATGAAGATATAATTATATCTTGTTTTGAACGGTGGTCTAGTTAACATAGATTAATGATGTAAACTGTTTAATCCCGATGAGAATAATGAATGGTAACTTTTGGAATCCATTTATGGACCAATACTGTACGTATATAATTATGGTATAGTTGTTAAGTAACTAAACTATTCATATTAGTGTCTCTCTTCTTATGAGCTTTATTTTGACCTATGAAGAGTTATTATACGACTTACCATTATTAAGTTATTCCCAGTATATTAATTACAGTCTTCCAAATTCACAGACACATTTGGCTAAATATTGTACAAATGTTGTTTCCTATTTTACAGTACGATGTGGTTTGTCTGGTTGGTATATAAACCAAGTATGTTTGAAATAAATGTCTCGTATCTCATAGGCTGAGATTTGTATTCTGGACGTAGCAGGTAGGACTAGGCGGGAAGCAGGACAAATAAGGATTCTAGACTGCTCGCAGGAATTTTATATGTCATTGGCCAGATCGATAATTCACTGTTCTCTAATTGGCGGTATCATCACGTTATACATTAATAGGACACAGAGCACAAGTTATAACATAAACAATACGTAATAATTCACTTAGTAATTCTTGCTTGTATCTACCTATTGTTGTTTAAGACTGCAATTAATCGGTCTCTTATTGGCACATGTGCGTACTGTGCGTATTGTCTCGATATTACCTTAAGTCACAAGCATTTTAAGCAAAGATCGATAGTGGATAACAGTGTAATCCAGGACGCTTGTCTCGTCCTATTCGAGACTCACTAGTTGGATGTACCTTCATCTTAAAATTGATGTTCACTCCGAGACTCAAATTCAGTACTGTTCTCTACAAATACCATCACGTTATCTACTCAGCTACTGAGACCTACAGTCCCACAGTGAACATCAACTCTGAGATGTAAGTTCATCCAGTTGATGAGTTTCAAATAGAACAAAACGCTCATCAAACTAGATTTTCACTGCTAACCACTATCTATCTTTGTTTATATTTCTAATTTTACTATTTCATTACTATAAAAAAATCAATTGAATTGATAACAATAAACAGAAAGAACATTGATATACTTGATATCAATAAAATTTATTATGAATGTATATTACTAACAACAACAACATCAACAAATTTCTTGTTGTTGTTATTGTTGTTGAATAATTTGAAATGAAATGAAAAATTAAAACTTAGAAACATTGAATAACTATTTTGTCCTAGTTTCATATTCACAAATAATAATAATTATTCATTTGATTAATTTATACAAGGTTAAGGAATTAAGAATAATTTAATTTTAACTTTAATAGACCTTTAATTATACTTTTCAATAGTTGAGATCATGAATCAATTAAAGCTAAATTACCATGAAAAAAAAACATAGAAGCATTGAATGACTGTTTCGTCCTATTGTGGGACTCCTCAGCAGTGCATAAAAATCGATAAATGTTAGATCATCATTGATAATTTGAAAGTATTAGACGGCTGTTTTGTTCTATTTTACAATTCTTCAGTTGTAAGTATCCATGATCCCATAGGTGGAATTTGAAAAAGAATATGATTGTTAATCATTGAGTATTCTAGATAGTTATTATGCTAGACCGTATACTGATTGAATGGTTTCAAAGTTATTTTGTTGATTCAGTATCTCAACTCTCAAACAAATCAAGTGATTTATGTGGTTCATATCTATTTGGTGCCTCTTTGTACCAATGTTTATGTGTTTAGATCAGTAAATAATTTCACTGGTTGAGATTATGAGTCCATTGAAGCTAGACTACCATGGAAAACTTTGAAGCACCGGACAGCCCTTTCGTTCTGTTGTGGGACTCCTCAGTAGTGTGAATCCACGATGCCACCTCGTGAGATTCGAACCCAGGACCTATCGACCTCGCACGCGGACACAATCTCTAGGCCAGCATCTAATGGTGTTAATGTCTAACTTCAACTATTTCATGAAATTGAGTGACACATCCGCTATTTCGATAATGTAATAAGAAGACTTCTTATTACATTATCGAAATTTATCAAAGGGATCAATTGCTTTAAACATCCGCTATTGTCTTCAGTGAGTTACTATCTCACAACAGACGCGGTTGAATTTCATTGCTTCCAGCTTTTCCGTGATGATCCAGCTTGAATTGACTCTTGATCTCAACGATTGTAATTATTATAATATCCACAAAAAACCCTCCTGATATAGATAAACAAATAAATAAATAACAGTCTTAAGTGAAATTATAAGCACTATTTTTCTCTTTTATCTGTCTATCTCTCCGGTTTTAAATAGTATCCAAATTGATATCATTATGTAATAAACAATAACTTGAGAGATTTTCAATTTAAATATAATTCAAGTTGGTGAGTCTTTACATAATAAGTTTGATAGGATGAACTCATGACAGTATACAATTTCCCTAAGTGTTATTTATTAGAAGACAGTGTTATGTTATAACTATATGGAAGTATAATTGATAGAAGTTGCAAAGTAGATACTAATTAATATGTTTATTTATTATCAGAATATGGATTTGTGGAGATTGTAGTAATTTTATTAGTTTTATTTGTGGGTTCATGTAAGCTAGACAACCATTGAAAACCTGGAAGCAACGGACGACCGTTTCGTCCTAGTATGAGACTCACCAGCACTGCACATCCACGATTCAAAACGTGGGACTCTAATCTACAACCATCAGTTTCGCTCATAGACGCTGAACCTCTAGAATATTGAGACGATATCCATCAGTGTTAATGTCTAACTTCAATCGATCCATGATCTTGCTCATTCCTTCATTCATTGTCTTCGGTGAATAACTGTCTCATACCCTACGCGGATTTGACTCCACTGGTCACTGTTGCTCATTAGAACTCCACGAAATCCATCTTGAAATTAGTCACCAATGAGCATATGATTATAACTATTATTATTATTATTATTATTATTATTATTATATACATAATAAATGAAATATCAATTATAACAAACAGGTAGTTTTCATTCATACTAGTTTTGTTTCTTGTAATCATAGGATATTACCCCTGTTCTTAATTGTCATTTCCCACAGGTTTTTTTCCAATGACTAAACATCTAAACTATAAAATTTTCACTTAATGTCAATAGAATTTAACAGGAATATTGAAAAAACAACCTCCAGTGTAACCCATAAATATAGACAAATATCTAAAGGGGATTGAAGCTAACAAGAATGAACAATAATTCTTCCTTGTCAACTAGGCAAGATATTTTGTTTTGGTTTTGCATTAGAATAAGTCATATCAAAATAACACCTATGATTGTTTCATTTTGATTAATGTAGTGTATTGTTAAGTTGAATTTAGTTACAATAATGTCAATATGTATATATACATATACATATATCAGATAATACTTCTCCTCATTTATTCCATTAAAAGTCTCTACTTGTATCATTTCATTTGTTGTCATTCTAAAGAAATAAATGTATGAATAGGAAATGTCAATTAACTTATATTATAACTGTTGTGATGAATGAAAACAAAGTCGGTAACAACCAAATGTACTTTAATAATAACATTACAGAATATCATGGTAAAATTTGAGAACCATAGAGTAAATATTTCATTTGTAAAATATCTATCAATTCTCTTAGACTTTGTTAGTTATTCATTTCCATATTAATCACACTCTGTTCTCATTCTCTTCTTTGTGATTTTCCTAACCTTTTTCCACTAGACATCCCACATCCTATTGTGACTATTAATATTATTGTTAATTAACTTATGCCTTGAATTTTTTAATCATCTGATGTAGCCGCTCAAATAATATACATAGTGTATTTATTTATTAACTAAAACAAGTCGGATATCAAATTATTCTGTAGGTTCAAATTCCAGAGTGGGCATCAATCCTGAGATGCAGGTGCATCTAACTGACGAGTCTCAAATAGGACGAAACGCGCATCACACTGGATTCCACTATTAGCCATCATCATTTCAGCTTATAAGCAATTAATGTTCTGTGCTACTTTGTAGTTATGTGTTTTTAGATGGTAAAAAATATCTTAAAGATAATAGCCTGAAATGTAGCTCAAGTAAGTTGTGTTTTTTTTAAATAAACCTTTAGATAGAATTAAATAAAATTTGGTACTTTTCATAATTCAGTTGAGATTACGGACCGATCAATCTCAGACCACAATTCAAAACCTGAAAACACTAGGCGACTGTTTCGTCTCAGTATGAGACTTCTCAGTAGTGCACACCCATAATCCTTCATGCGGGACCTTCAGCCTCATGATCTAAGATTAAAGTTGATACTTTTCAAATTGCTGAAAATGAAATAAATGATTTCGATCATGTGTTGAATGAAAAATATTTCGTTTTTTTCCACTACCAAACATGAAAAAGAGTGACTTTAATGGTTAGCCAGTAAGTTGTTTCAAAATTTTCTCAAGTATTATATGATATTGGTTATTTATGTTTGATGAAACTGATATGACAGAAATTTCATCGATCTGTAGTTTCGTATTTTCCCATTTGAATTCATTTCTTTAGTTGTTTACATTGTATCATTTCATTGATAGTTTGTGTTGGTGTTTCCATAAGTGAAGTGCGTGACCATTTTGTCCAACATAGTGGTTTGTCCATAACTAATAGTGACACTTACATATTTAACATCACTGTAAAAGCCAGAATTTAATGTTTACTGATGGAACAACTAATTTTTTCTAAAAATATAGATGTTCATTTACCGGCTGATGAGGGTTTGAATTCACGAGGGAAAATTAGTTTCTTCATATAATAGGTATGCTTGTCAAATCTATGTCAACTAACACGAAACCTAAAACTAGGTTTTTCTGTCCACTGCCTTCAACCATTTAATATCTCATATTCTATTTAACAATGTTACCTCTATTACTAAAAGATAAAGTGTAAGTAGTATTTTGTCAATCCAATAAAATAATTTTTAATCACAAAACATCATCACTATCATACACAGGTCTCTTCATTTAATTTTTATTAATTACACAGCAACAGTTCATGGTTACTTAAAACTATAAATAAAACAAACCATTCATCTTATGATATTTAATTGACACTTGTTTTTCTAATCATGACAAATAGGAAGAATGTAAGAAATTTATCGATTATGTAGCACTTACTCTCATAAATTCAACACTTGAATCCAATGGATTATCCCGATGAAACAACAGGATAAAATTTTCTTCAGTTGGTAAAATTTTAGCCATCTACATTATAGAGGATAGAAAAAGAAATGGTAACAGATTATTATAAGAAAGTGTTCAGTCATAATTAGCTGTTTATTCATTTAATTGTTACTATCAGTAAATAGTACAGAAGGAACAATATTCTATAAACAATCATTATTGGCTTTTGTTAGAAATTGTGACCTGTGTGTCCTGTTTATTGTATAACGTAACGATACCGCAGTGAATTATCGATCGGACATATGACGTGTAAAACCCGTGCAAACAATCTAGAGTTCTTATTGGTCCTGCTTTCTGCATAGCCAAGCTATTTAAGTCCAGAACACCAATCTCAGCCTCTGCGTTATAAATCCTAAAAGTTACCATTCACTATGCTTATCGGGGCATAACAACTTTGTTTATTTATTGTTGAAATTAGATTGATATTATTTCCAATTTTGTTGGAAAATGAGGTGGTTGTAATTAGTTACTTAAGTTTAATCAATTATTCCATGGTTCAATCAGGATAGCTGTAAGACAGTTAGTTATCTACCACAGGCAATGAGAGATGGTTGCGTTATATCGTGGTTTGATTGCATTAAGATTTATACACTATTAAATCAAGGCTCAGTGGTCTATAGGTTAAGCGTTTACACACAGGACTAAACTTTACGGGTTCTATCCTCCATGAAGCAGTCGTGCATTTGCAATAACCAGAAATCCTATACGACAACGAAATGGAGATAGAGTTATATCTGATTTCGAACGATGGTCTAGTTAACATAGGTTAATGACGTAAACAATGACAATTTATGCAATTTTCACAAAACTCTATACTGAATACTTCATCCCCAACTGATTTCACATAGCGAATCACTAAACATTAGAAAAAAACTGTTCCATCTTAATGTATATATAAATTCTAATTGTGAATATGGGAACAAGTGACCAGTATGCAACAAAATGAACGCATTTATTCATAATGCAGTTCAGTCGTCATTGTATACTATCGAGTGAAATTATCTTAGTAAACATAGACTGATCAATGATGATATAGACACCAAACACTGTTGATCAAAACAATCTGATTGTATTCAACCAGTCATCATAGAAACATGTAATTTACCAATTAATCTTCTGATCGAACTCTATTCATAATGAGAAGTGAATGAGATGTTATTGATTACGACCATATAATGGGTTAGAGTCTACACGTGTAAAGTGTTACATGTCTTGCTGACGTTAAGTTACAATCCTTGTGTTTAGATTTACAGCTGATAACGCAAAGGATCATTTGAATAATTTATCAGAGACCTCACTTCGATTCATCATTTTAGATAAGGGCTGTGCACTCTCTCTATTCTTGTTAAATTTTGTCGTTGACGTGCTTTTAGAGATGACACTTTCCTCAGTTAAATTTCCAGGGGTTGAACTTCTACCGAAAGATTCACTCTCTGACTTAGAATATGCTGATGTCATAGTTCAGTTTGGTGAAGATGCTGACAAAATCCAGAGTCTTCTGGCTACTATAAGCAACAATGCAAGCACGTTCGGGATGAGAGTCTACCCATTCTCAAGATGCAAAATGTTGCTTCGGGATTGGGTCGACTGGCTTTTCCAAATTGCGTCATTTATGGCGTAGGCGAGATATCAGTCTATCAACAAAAGGACGTGTTAACTGTGCAGCAGTTCGTTCCGTCCTACTTTATGGCAGTGAAACATGGCCAGTAAGAGTAGAGGATATTCGTAGGTTACTAGTATTCGATCATAGGTGTCTTAGAAATATTGCTCGTATATCCTGGGACCGTCGAGTAAGTAATGCAGTTGTTAGGAAACGGGTACTAGGTAAAGATGGCAAATCAATTGATGAAGTAGTAAACTTGATCAGTTGAGATGGTTGGGACACGCGTTACGTATTCCCAACCACCGACTACCACGACGTGTGATGTTTTATGGTGTAGGAGTAGGTTGGAAGGAAGCTACAGGTGGCCAGATCAAAACATGGTACAAATCCATGAAGTCACTGACAAGTAGACTGAGTTGTGTTGGTAAGTGTAGACTAACTGGTTCGGATCCACGACACGATAGCAACCGATGGCTAGAGACGTTGAATGACATGGCTGAAAATCGTTTGCAATAGCTCAAGTGCATCCACTCTTTGTGTTCTCACAAATTCTAACCTTCTGAATTCTCCATATTGCTCAATTTTTCTCTTTCCATATTCATTTCGCTGGATTATACTACTTGAATAACATCTTCAAACCCTAATGTTTCCGATTACTGCATATGCTCTTACCACCCCTACCATTATGGGATTTGAATCAACAACTGCATCTCTGTGCTAATGTGGTATATCAACTCGAACTGATGTACGCAAGTACGAAGGTCTACGTTATTACTGACTGACTGACATCATTTTAGATTATCATAACAATACTAATACTAATAATAATATTACTAGTAATAAATATTACAATAATTTAAGAAATTATCATGTCTACGCTTATTTTTCCCGCCTTGTTTTCTATATTTGTCCCTGATATTCATCGCTTTGTCATATCACCTAAATACGGCTTCCAAATGTTAAGTCAATCGTCTAAAATACTTTTCTCTGTGTACTGAGCTTATCAAAAATAATAATGATAGTAAATGTTGATCTTTCTTTTGAGAATTTGTCATATATATATATATATATATATATATATATATATATATATATATATATGTTCTGCTCGAAAATGTACACACATTCGAATGGGTGCATCCATACATACATTTAATAAATTCGCTTATGAATTATCCATAGTCTATTTACCTAGAACGTTATAATCAATTGACTGTCATCATTGTATCATCTTCCTATTTTTATTCTCATAAAAACATACTTAAGTGGACAGATGAAATACAAATGTTTTATGGATTAAAACTAACTGTGAGAAGAAGAACATAATCTGAGATAATTTCTGACATAGAATACGATGTCCACCACCACCACCACTACTACTACTACAACTATTATGATTACTACCTAAACGTACTTCAGTAAGCTCAATTCGATTGTCAGAATTTTCATCGAATGCCTCCATAAATTCTTTTTTCATTAATTCCAACTCATCGCTAGGTATTGTCTAGGAGAAAAATAGAGATAATTGAAAGAAAAATGTGACAAAGATAAAAACACTTCACATTTAATCAAGTTGAACAAATTGAATAAATTGCGAACTTGAAAATAAAGGGGAACAAAATAAATTACGATTATTATTATTATTATTATTATTATTATTATTATTATTATTATTATCATTAAATTGGATTGATATTGTGAGTGGATCAATGTTAGACCATCATTGAAAACCTAGAAGCATTGGACGGTCATTTCTTCCTAGTACAGAATGAAATGGCTTTTTCAATGCTTTCAGGTTTTCAGTGATGATCTAACATTGATCCATTCATAATATCAATCTAAACTCAACAATCTGCATAACTCTATCATTAGATTGTTAAACGGAATGTTTCTTATATCTTGTTTGAAGAGTAGTTAAGAAAGGAAACAGGCAAATTTTCAAGCTGACAATTTAATGTTATCTAATGTTAACCACACTTTATTTTATAGTAATATGTAAGTCAATAAAACTAGTAACATTTTTCAAAGATAAGCTAAGTAGTAACTTCACAAAGTTTATTAATAAATAATGAAGTGTTCTAATTATGCATGCAGTATTTGATTTAAAATTGTTATCCTTTATTATTACATAACTTAAATCTGAAACTACCTACTGAATACTTTCAACCAATCAGGGGGTAAATAGTTTGTGGAGATTGATGAACTTTGTAGTCAGCATCATGAATGAATCGAAGTTAGATCTTTCAAAAACGAAGAATTATTCTAGACAGCTATTTCGTCCTAAAATGTGACCTCTTGGTAAATGTAAACTATAACATACAGTAATTGTTTGAAATGTTTTATTTCATCATTAATCATGTATACAGTGGTGACTAATTTCAAGAGGTAATTCCTCAACCTCCAGTGAAAAACTGTGACCAGTTAAATTCAATAGTGTCTAATATGAGGACTTTGTCCCCCAATGAGCTGATCACACAATGTTGCAAATTGAATGAAAATACGAGTGTGTAGACCGTTGATTACCAAGTAAATTGTCATAAGGTTTTAAACTAGATTTTGGGGAAGAGACTTCTGGGCTCGATCCCGATATTCACAGTTTTTGTACTATCACCATAATTTTGATTATATTTTAATATGAAAGAACATTTACGTAAAATTCAGTAAAATCTCATTGTCGCACGTACTAAATAACATTATGGATATATGTGCTTTAACAGTTGAATTCATGAGTCGATCTACGCTAGACCACCGTTGGAAACCCGGAAGCACACGACGGCTGTTTCGTCTTCGTGTGGGATTTGTGAACAGTGTAAATCCACGACCCTGCACACGGGATTCTAATCCAGGACCTTCGGCATCGCTCACGATCGCTTAGCCTGTAGACTACTGAGCCGGCTCCCACTGTATTAATATCTAACTTACATCCTGCATGCGGATTGTGGATACGCACTGCTGAAAAATCCCATACTAAGACGAAACGGTCGTCCAGTGCTTTCAGGTTTCTAATGATGGTCTAGCTTAAAACGACTCATGAATTCAACTGTTAAATTACTATAATCTTCGCAAACCCCCATTCTGATTACTATATATATGGTATGTACTCAATATTGCGAAACGTTGCCTGTTGAGGAAACAGTGGAAAACAGTGTCATGAATGGTAGTTTCAGCAGCCGTTCCCATTATCGGCATCTGAATGGAGAAGAAATATCACCTTTCGATTTCATTACCAGTAAGATAATATTTAGTCATTCTGTCTGTATCTGTTGATTATCACTCATATAGTTATCGACCAGAATGAAATATTAATTCTTATTAAATTTCATATTAAGTTCTTCGGCTAACCAGTACACGGTTGGTATTAGAATATTAGGCAAGACTACAACTTATGGACGAACCAATCGGATTTAGGATATCAGGACTCGGATGTCATTGTGAAATTCATTCACCCATTTGTCTAAATAGAGTTTTGGTATTCTAGCTTATGTCAGTTCGTGATGAAAACCATAAATCTAATTCCTAACTTTAACTATAAATCATAATCCTTATTCTTCACACTGCCTTATAACCCTCATTTAATTCTAGTTAGTATGTGAATATTCTCAATGTCACTTTAGTGTTGCTCAAAAATCGTCCATAAATTATAGTCTCACGAAATATTAAATTCACAATATAACTATATACATATATTATACGATATTATTTTATATATTCATATGATCAATGCGAACATGTTGATGAATATAACGTGGAATCTGACTATTACTAACCGAAAGATACCTAGTTAAGTGTTAAATAAACAATATTTAAGATATATATATATATATATATATATATATAACCTGGACTGCTCAGCAATGCGCATCCGCAATCCCATTCCGTGATATTCGAACTTAGAAGTTATTAGTCTCACGCGTGAATGCTTAACCTCTAAACCACTAAGCCGGCCAGTATCCAACAGTGTTAATTCCTAACTTCATAGGTTTGAATTTTGTGAGGCGAAATCATAGTTCTTCACTACTGATGAGTCCCACACTAGAATGAAATGGCCAGCCAATCTTTCCAGATTCTCCATGGTAATCTAGTTTCAATTGATTCATGAATTCAACTATTAAAACTCCTAAAATCTTCACAAAACTCCCTTTTAATAATAAAAAATAACCATTAAAATTACACTATTTATTTATTATATGCTTATTTTATTATAACACTATTTAAATAGATAAAAGGTATATATAACACATACAATATTCTATAGATAGTAGATACATAAAAATGGATGATTTTTTTTCTTTTTTTTTCTTTTCTTTTCTTTTTTTTCTTTGTTTAAAGTTTTATATTCCCTATAACTGAATTGTGTTTCTTTTATCACACATGTTCATATGAATATTGTTTCTCATGAGTATGAGAATAATAATAAATTATAATGGTGTTTGATAAGTGAAAAACAAAAAACAAAAAAAAAACACAAAATTTAAATTTTATACTCAATTAAGTTCTTATTGTCTCTGGGATAGAAAAAAGAAAAACAAAAAAAAACATTTTTTTTTATTATTTCATAATGTTTCATTTGACTTATTGTTTGGAGTGGTTGTTTTGGTAGTTTTAAATTTATGAGAAAAAAACTAACTAACTAACAAACAAACAAACAAACAACGATAAATTTTCATTTTTGAAGTTAAAAACTTTTTTTTATGGATAGCATGTGATAAGTTAACTAAATAAATACATTTTATGAGAATGGGGATTTGTGGAGCAGTATTGTAGTAGTAGCAGCAGTAGTAGCAGTAGTAGTGGTAGTAATGGTAGTGGTCGTAGTGGTAGTAGTAGTAGTAGTATTAGTGGTAGTGGTAGTATTGGCAGTAGTAGTAATGATAGTAGTAGTGGTACTAGTAGTAGTATTAGTAGTAGTAGTAGTAGTAGTATTGTAATAGTTGAGTTCACGAGTCAATTATGGATCGATTGAAGTTAGATATTAACACTGATGGATGACAATTAAGTTGTCTAGAGGTTAATCGTTCATAAGCAAAACCAAAAGTCCTGGATTCAGCGCCCACATACGGGATCGTGGGTATGTACTACTGAAGAGTCTCATACTAGGACAAAATGGTCGTTTAGTGGCTTTAGGTTTGCAGTGGTGGTCTAGTTTAAGTGGACTGATGAATTCAATTAGTAAAAATACAATTTAACCTTGGAATTTCTGCATAATCTTGTTGATTTATAGATATAATAGCCATATTTAACAAAACTATTATCAGAAATAAATGATACATTGAAGCTTATTTTAATGGTATAAAATGAACAGTTTCAATTTTTATTTCTTTATAAGTTGTAGATAAATCCCACGAAATTTATCTTTATACGTCATAGTGGATAATGAACAGTTAAGTAATTAAACAGTTTTCATTAAATAATAAACAATTTTGATAAACATGTTTTAATCAATTGAACTGGTATTATTTACATATTATCCATTCTGAAATAAGATAGCTTTGTGACGATCTCCTCGAATATCCGGGATACCTGTTCCTACCATCTAGATATATCAACAAGTTATCTGTCTTTTGTATGCTTCATCAGATCATTATATTAATTAATTGCACAACCTATTCAGCTGAAATGTTCACAACCTTTCACTGTACAACTTAAGAAACAGCACAATCAGAGACATTGTGGCGGTTGACAATATGCATTAAAAAGAATGAACATTAATTCATAAGTCGATTCGTGAACTGCTAACATTTAACTGGTAGATCAAGAAATAATAAAGGGAAATTTATTGGAATACTATGTGCTGAGAATTCTATATTATACCAAAAATATAATATTGAATAGTCTTTAATAATAATAATAATTTATTTGGATGATATCTCTAGAATCTTTAATAATTTATAACTTTTACTAGGTTGACTCGGTTAGTGTCAAAAGAATAAAAGTAGATTGACTAGGGTAAGACACAAGTGTCCACTTAAGTCAACTGTGAGTCATTTTCTTATTGGTATTAACGGTTAGCCATTATGTTATATTTTAAACTGACTAAAGTTGAAGTATGTGAATGATTCAAAACCTTATCGAACAACTTAACATCATGGTATTTGTCACAAGACTTAAAATTTCAAACTTTTATCATATCGGGTTATTATAGTTCAAAATTTAAACAACTCAGGTATTTAAGCAAAAAATGGATAGTGGCCAGAAATGGAATCCAGTTTGATGTATATTGCTTCCTATATGGGACTCGTCAGCCGGATATACTTGCATCGCTGAGTTGACGTTCACTCTGGGACTCGAAATCAAACTCCATCTCCTTGTCCACTTAACTACTGAGTCCTGATAGCCACTCGCTTGTGCAACGGATATATCCATGTAATAGGACGAAACATGCATCCTGGATTCCACTCCTAGCCATCATCCATCTCTCCATATGATACTTGTGAATTAAGGCAATATTGAGGCATTACACACAGTATGCACATATACCAATAAGAGGCTGATCAATTGCAGTTCTAAACATCAATGGAAAGATTCAAATATACAATACCAACTGAATTTAATTCAAGTATTTAATTTAATTTAGTTATTCACCGAATGCTGTTAGTCTTTGTTGAAAACTAGCTATATACAACTAAAATCTTTTCTTTGGTTTTATTACTCATTAGTTAACAACTAAAATGTTAACTTCAGTGATAATAAAAATAAGACAAGGGATAAACATTATTTGCTTTACTTAAAGTACTAATCTTTTTATGGAATATAACAATTCATCTTCTTGACTATTGAAAATAAATAAACAAAGATGAATAGTGGATAGCAATGGAATCCAGTTCGGTGGGTGTTTCGTCTTATTCGGGACTCGTCATTTAGATATATCTTTATTTCCGAGTTGATGTTCACTCTAGGACCCGAACCCAGTACCATTTACTTCAATCACCATCGTGTTATTGACTTAGCTACTGAATCCAGATAGCCACTGGTTCGTGCAGTACGGTATTATTAGCCACCAACCATTTCTGCTTATAATGTATGTGACCTAAGGTAATATCAAGGCAATCTATACAAGTTCTAAACATCAACGGCAGTAATTAAATAACCAATACAATAATGAATTAATCTTATAATTAGTCTCAAAATTGAATAATAAAGTTAATAAGTTTAGCTATGACCTATCGTCATTTCATTGTACAAATGACGTCTTCAATTCTAATTATTGAATAGGAAACATTCAATGAAGTCAAACAGATTACTATTTATGTAATCATAAATGTATATATATTTAACAACAATGACACATTTACTATTATTGTCTTACTATAAACTGGTTTATTATCAATAATCTCAACAGAGTATTACCAGTTCGTTTTTCCTTTACTTGGATGCTATAATATGTTCATACGGCGACTAATAATTAGTTTCCCTAGACCATATTTATTAAACGAAATTAATTAGTGATTGAATGATGTAATAAATTATTCATTCATTAGTACTATATATGTACGTATCATAAAAAACCTTTCTATTTGTCTTTTCTTAATGATTTCATATGATATATTGTATCTTCTTAGTTTTTTAATGATCAAATACAGTAAGTGATAAACAAATGATGTGACAGTTTATTATTACATATGACAAACTTGATTCTTCTACCATTCAAAGTTTAGTTTTAAGGGTAATTCTAATCGATGTTTGATTGATTTAGATTCGAAGAGTGAGACAGATAATGTCCATGAACTAGGATAAACTAAAGAGTTAGGAAAATCTAAGAAGTATGCTTAGTTCATGTCTGAATACTTCAACTAGTCCACACTTATCATTTCATGTAGTAACGAATATAGTATCTAAAAATCATATAGAGAAGTAATTCTTACCAATATTATTAGAATGACAACTGTATTACACATAGAGCTGTTTAAATGCATTGTGCCTCAGTTCATACACATCAAGTAATTTGAGGTACTTAATTTTCACCCATTATAGTCTGATTAGTGAATTGTGCTTTGAAATTCATAGCAGGTATACTGAGCTATTCACTTTTCACCGATTTCTTTTTCTTGTTTAAAATTACTCTTTAATAACTTCGTCAGTAATTATAATTCTGTAACAGATTCTCTTGATTGTGTAAAGATAGTCATGTTTTTGTTAACTGTCTACCGCATATTGTATTTAATTAAAGTACGTTTATTATCTTTATAAGAATATCACTGTGTACAATTAAGTAATAACTTTAAACTACTAAAATGGATTATAAAGGTTAATTATGTTATTTATTTGGTGAGACTATAATTTATGGACGAACCAATCAGATTTGGGATAACGGGTTTAGAATTTCGGCTCGAAATCCATTTATTTATTTGACTAGATAACGTTTTGAAGTTCTAGATGATGTCAGTTTGTGATGAAAACCATAAACCTAATTCCTAACCTTAACCATCAACTGTAAACCATAATCCTTATTCTTTACACTGTTTTCTAACCCCTATTTAGCCCTAGTGAGTAGGGGGATGTTCTGAAGATCAGTTTAGTGTTGTTCAATGGTCGTCCATAAATTATAGTCTCACTAGTTATTTCGATATAATCACATCACTTAAGCTTTTTTATTTTAAAATGATTTCTTAACAAGGACATTACTATCCATACGGAAGTCAAAAAACAATGAAACTGATAACTTAATAAAGTACTTTGCAATTGTCTCATAATGTAAATTTCAGGTCCTCTATTGAAGTTAATTTAATATAAATATTCATTGATTTAGTCAATCTTTCATGTTATCATATGGACTACAGATATGAATTCCATTTTATATCATAATAACTCATAAATTGACCGCAGATTTCTATTCATTTTATTTCAAACATACTTCTATAGGATCAGTGAAATATCACTGAGCCCTAGCCGAATCATTTCACTATTGAGCCACTGAATATCGAACAGTTCATCGATCCCCGTCAAGGTCTAGCACAACCAACGCGCATCAGTTAATCTTACTCCATGGACTGGCCCATACGATAGTGGTCACATTTTTGTTTGTAACTACTCAAACTAGTATATTTCTGCGATAACGTCCTTTGTGTTATACGATTATCAAAGCAGCAATAGTACCTTGATACGACGAAGGGGTAAACCGGTTTAGGTGCTGACTGTAAAGTGTAACCTCGAAGTAAGATGTTGGTTGCACTATTCCCGTCTCACTCGATTAGCCCCCCTCAATCTTTATTATCATTTTTTGATTTCTCACTAATTAGTATCAAACACCTGTTGAATAAAACAAGTTATCATTCAAGTTGAAAATGTACTTGTTAAGTAGCTCGAATTAAGTAGTAAATTAAAATTTAAATGTATTAACACCATTATCTACCGAACTACATCATAGTCTTCAATATAAGAGAAAGGCAGAAATGATCTCTATGTTGTTATTTGCATTTAGCTTTGTTTTTTATTATTTATGAGTTTAATTTTCTAATGAATCTATCTCTAAATTGGTAGTATAGAATTTTTGTTGAGATCATGAATATTTTTCTAGTTGAAATGACGAACTTGATTTAACTTTGTGATCATCAACCATTCTTATTAGTGGTACTTGTTTGACGCCGAACATAGCTGAACTTCATTGATTGCAGTTTCTTACGAAGAAAACTAATGAAGTTTTGAAAAAGGTGCTGAAACCATTGGAGTTTCATTAGGTCGAACTTAAGATGACCAATGAATGATATTAATACAATAATCCGAATAGACTGAATTTAGAAATGTGAACAACTGAATTCTAATACTTTAAAGGTAATATACTCACCATGTACCTGAAAGTCCTAGATCATTAAGGTAGAGAGATTTTACATTAGTACAAAATAGTTATCTTTGAATTCTTTTTAATGTATAAACAAAGTGGATGTATTTTCTTAGTGTTCTAGAAAGATTAGACATCTTTTACATCATTGTACTACATTATAACCGATCCTCATTCATTTACTAAGTTATCCACGACCTATATAACAAGTATACATATTTATTAGATTTCCAAGGAATATAGAAGATTAAAATAAAAGTTTGATAACATATAAACTTACTATAGTTGACATTACCAGTCAAAGAAAAATATTCAGCGTATCAATGTTATACTCTGTGATTTCTAGTCATTCATTAGTCAGTTCACTGAGTAATGATAAATTATAACGTTTTGGAGTCTCTAAATGTTATAACCAATTCAAATGTTTCTATGAACCCAATTATATTACTCTGATTACCTCAGTAAGTAAGCCTACTTGAGATACTCACTATATTTTGGAACATTATTTTTCAATATTAACTAAATCATAAATAATGACATCAAGAAACAATATCCTTGTGAATTTAGTTGAAACCAGACATTGAATTCACGTAGAAATACTTTTCCAATCTATCCAAGAATATATGATCAATATCTAGTTTTCTTTGTATACAGAGGGAGGTATATGATCCCAAATCTTTTTTCCATAAGACATTTCTATAACCTCCTTGGCTATATATTATCTATTCACTAAATAAAAATAACTCCTCATATTCTGATAATCGATTGCTTACTGATTTATAATTTGATTCATTTTGTTAACTTCTAAATGCCCTGGTACGACCGAGGGTGAAGACAGTTATCACTCCCTTTACAAATGCTCTCACATGGTCACGCGTATACAGCCACTACCAGGGAAGACCTACTCACTGCTTCACCACGTTATTACTGTTGTTCAGGAAATTTAGAGGATGAAAAGCCAATGTCCGGTGCTTTAACCTGTGGTGCAAATGAGCTTTAGTATTCTGAAGGAATAAGTGGCGTACGAATCACCGGCTACCATGGGAAAGCATCTCCCTACGATTCTCCACTGCTTTATGGATCAGACCTTTAGGCCAAAAGCTCCGGATGTGGTTCTTCAAGAAAAACATCCATTTCGGTCTGGGCGCCCGGACAGTATCACAGTCCACACAAATCAAATGACTTGTGTGACGCATATGTATTCGTTACCTCTTTGTACCAATATTTATGTATTGAAATAAAATAAATTAACTAATTAATAACAATTTCAATAGTTGAAATCATGAATTAATTAAAGCTAGACCACCATAGAAAACCTGGAAGCAATTGACGGCGGTTCCGTCTTATTGTGGGACTCCTCAGCAGTGTACATAACACTAAATACAATATATAGACTGTTAACTAATGCCTAGTTACAGAAAGAAACAAATTATTTACATATAAAACGTGTGATTTACTTTCATCAGTTAAATAAGACCAATCCTAAACACTTTAATATAAATCATGAATCTATATTAATTAAAGAAATACTTCACACTTACCTCATTTCCTAATTCTTCAGAAAATACACTGTAGATGAATTCACGTAGAAAATTATCCAATTCTGAACCTTCAATATAACCATTGCCTATTGAATTTTAAATAGAAAAATACAAGAGAATTGTAATGAAATAAATTCTTTTTAATTTAACTTAATCACTTCAATTAAAGTAGCTTATACAATTCGTAAAAATCTACATTGATTTCTTCATTATCAGTAACAGTAAAAGCACTTGATATTTTTGAGATGAATCCAGAGCTATGCATAGAAAAGAAGTACGTTTTATTCTGGGTTCGAGTCACTCAGTGAACATGAACTCTGAGATGCAGGTAAATCCAGCTGATGCGCCCCAAATAGGACGAAACACGCGTCATTAGTTTCACTGTTAGCCATTATCCATCTCTACTTGTAAAAATCTATTCAACTAATATGTTTGTAATCAATTGATATTATAAAGTCTATTCTATGATTCATAGGTTATATACTTAGTTCATTTATGATGTCAAACAGAATAAATAACATATTTTCATTTATTAAAATATTCAAAACATTATTTTCTCTTGCGTTTAGTACATCTTTATTAAACACAAATAGTCACATAGCATGTTCATTTGTTCTATGTTTAACAAACTCAAAATTAGTTAATTCATATAAATGGATTTGGTTATTTATTCTCTGAAGAAGTAGCTTACACTAAGTCACGAAACGTCAGAAAATCTAATTTTTTTTCTACTCATTGGGATATTACACATATATTGATATATTTATAACTTATATCAAGTTAAAATCTAGCTAAACAAAACAGTTCATAGAAATATAAGTGTTTGTGATGAGTATTTAGGACAACGTTTTACAATGAACAATAGTTAGTAACAAATTGATTTTCATACGTTTACTTCCATTCTAAATTATAGTTTACAACGATTTTATAAGCATCGATGCTAAATTTTTACTTGACTGTTTCAAATAAAGTAAGCATTGGGTAGAAAGTTCTAGTAAGAAGCCGTGACTAGTAGAGCTAATTCATGTCAGGTAGAGACAGATATCTACCGCAGTTAATGGATGATGGTTGTGTAATCTCGTGGATTGGTTGAAGTTAGACATTAACGCCATTGGATACTGGTTCAATGGTCTACAGGTTAGGTGTTTGCGTGTGAGATCAAAGGTCTTTGACTCGAGTCCCTTCAGCGGGATCGTGGATGCTCACGGATGAAAAGTCTCATACTAGGACGAAACGGTCATCCATTGTTTCTAGGTTTTCAGTGGTGGTTTAACATTGATGCATTCATGATGTCAATCAAAAACTTAACAATCTCCACAACCCCATACTGTTAAATATATATCTTTTGTTATATCCTAATGAGTTAAAAAATTGTATTGTACCAAACGTTTCGTGACTTAATGTTATTCAGAAAGGTTTTTTTCAATTATATTAAAAGTGGTGAGTAGCCTAAGCGTTTCATATAATGCTTAATTCCTCTGGCCTCAATAGGAAAGAACGACTGACTAATCATCCAACCTGGATTATTTATCCATACAACGACATTTGACCTTATTTATTTTCCACACAATCTGCATACACACCCAATTTCAACCTCATTACTTCATATCACAAATGCACAGTTTAATACAATTGTGATGTGTGCTACTAATATCGACAGATATAAGTAGTATATAACACTAGTCAGGAATAGAATGTCTAGCAGCATAAGGTTAAAAATATCAAAGAAAATAAAAGGAGAACAGTGAATGATTGCTGTGGAAATGAAGGAACAGTCAAGTTTGAGACATTTGATTGATATTTTGCAAATGATGTATTTATTGTATGATTCTCAGAGTTTACTAAAAGATTCTGTAATTTTGTGCTCAAATACATTCGACTGTCTCGGCTTGTGTGCCCAATCGTTACACAGTAGCATGTCATACAAATTCATCCTGATCAAGAATAACTTAACACTGACATATTCAGGTTCAATTATAATTTTGATTTCAGCTATTTATTTACTCCGAAGAATTGGCTTATATTTAGTCTCGAAACCACGAGGAAAATAAAGGAAAGATACAATTTTTTCTACTCATTGGGATTACACATACATAGACGCACACACACACACAAAATATATATTTATTATTAATTTACAATGATGTTTCCCCTTCCCCCTCCCTTTCATTCAATGTAACATTTTAAACAACAATAACGATCACAACAACAAAGAATAATAGAATAATCTAAGCTAAACTCTTTTAATATTAAGCCAATCTAATTCACTTGATCATTTCGAAACTCAAATTCAATTTATTCATCATTGATAATATTTGTTTGATTGCACTAAATTACATCACTCATTCTTCTTCTTCTTCTTCTTCTTTTTCTTTTTTTTTCTTTTTTTTCACAACTAGTTCATAAGTTCACTATATAATATTCTATTTGTTTACAATTTTTCATTAATATAAACAATAATTTTATTTATTTTCCAAACATCTGCTTTTACTTGTTTTATTTCTCGTTGCTCTATTTATCTATTTATTTATCTTGCTTTCGTTTCCAATCTTAAGGTTAAGAGGACAGAATAATAATAATAATAATAGAATACTTGTAAGTGTAAATATTCATATTGTTCGAAATTGTAATAGAGCAGTTTTCCAAGTACTTAGAAAATATCAGTATAAGATTGTCGAGATGAGTAAGTTTTTGATTGATATCATGAATGGATCAATGGTAATCCATCATTGAAAACCTGGAAACACTGGATGGTCGTTTCGTTCTTGTGTGAAATTCGTGAGTGGTGAGCATCCACAATCCTGCACAAAGGACTTGAACTTAGAACCTTTTGTGTCACACGCGAACACTTAGCCTCTAGTTCAGTGAGCCGGTTTTAATGTCTCATTTCAATCAATCAATGAAATCGCACGACCATCTTCCATTGTTTTCAGTGAGTAACTACCTTACAACAGACACCGTTGGATGCTAGGTCAATGGTCTACTGGTTAAGCGTTAGTGTACAAGACCAGGGGTCTTAAATTCGACTCCCTTTTCTGAGATTATGGATATCCACTGCTCATGAGTCCATTTCTTTCACATTTTCAATGTTGATCTAACGTTGACCTATTCATGATATCAATCTAAACTTAGAAAATATTCTCTATATGTGTATAAATATACGCATAATTTATCGGATTATCACAATAACATGTTACGTACTTATACAAAGGAGTAGTATTATAAATGAAAATACAGTTATTTGTTGAGTTAATTAAGCATATATATATATATATATATATATATATATATATATGGGTCATAGTATTTAAATGGGAAAATGTAATTTTATACAAATTTATTATTATTATTATTATTATTGATATCAATGTGTGATCATTGAACATTATTTGTTTTATTACTTTGATTCAATTATTCACTAGTTCATTATAATACATAGCTACCTCATTATCTGTTCTAATAATCACAAGTTAACCTGTCTTTATAATGCACTAAATCAAATATGATATCACATATAGAATTGGTAACATGATTACCGGTACTTATTCTAATTAAATATAAATATTATCCATGTAAAATGTAGCTAGTTGGAAATACTGAAATAGATTAGTTCCATGCACAAAACTATATTAATTTACTGCAATAAAAGTAATTAAAATCATATGGGTTTTTTATGGATCTTATAGTATTTTAGTAGTTAAGATTATGAGTCAGTTGAAGCTAAACCACCATGGAGAAACTGAAGGTACTGGACTCCCAAGAAATGCACATCCGCGGTTTCATCTCGCGAGATCCGAACCCAGAACCTATGCTCACTAGTGACTGGCTTCAAGAAGTATTTCCTAGAATTCTATTGAGAAACTGTGACCAGGTCTGTTGTGAAATAATAACTCACTGAAGATAAAAGTAATTATTAACACAATTCTAATTTGATCACTCATGTTCTATGATTATAAATATTATTCATGTATTCAGGTTTATTTTTCTTTGGAAAATGAACACAAATAAACATTTTCATCTACTAACAAATGATTGATCACTGGGTGATGATCAATGTCACATGCGTTAGGTCTTTTTTTAGTGTAGATCAAATCCTATCGACTACGATTCAATCAGTCATATACGTTGATTCTATTTAGTTATGTTCTTGTCAGTTGTTCATAAGCTGTATTACTTACATAAATGTATTTGGTTGAATTTTGATATAATCACAATAAAGAAGTCCATGGATTTATGGCACTGAATAAATCTTTCTGTTTAAAATAAATGACTTCCTCTCACTTATGTATGTATAAAAAGCACATGGTTAAATCAATATTTCTTTTCAGCTAGCTATTGAATTTATGGTGTCACCATGTTTATAAGTATATGGTTCTTGTACGCTTTATGTATGATAAACTTCGGATATCTAAGTTGTTTATCAAATGCCAATCATTATATGTTTTGTGGGGTAACAGTGACTTGATTGAGGTGTGAGCTACTTCTATCCACATAAGTAGTATATAACGATGGTCAGACATAGAAACTATTTCCATGGAAGATCGAGAGGGAAAGAACGAGAGCGAAGAGCAATCGATATGAAAATGCATGAACAATCAAATCTGAGACGATTAACTGATATTTGTAAACGGAACAGTCAAGTTTGAGACAACTGATTGATATTTTGCAAATCATCTATTTACTGTAGGGTTCTCGGATTTTAGTGAAATGCTCTGTAATTTTGTGTGGTAATACATTCTGTTGTCCACACTCGTGTTCTTGTTCACTACAGAAAAATCCTAAAATCTGTAATGTTTACCATGTGATTTCTTTGTTTCTACCCAAACAGTTTTATTCACAAAAAATTACTTCTGGTTAGCTTATTCGTTGATTAATAAACTAATTTATCTCACAACTGACCTGACTGAACTCCACTGGTCACTGCTTCTTACTAGAATTCACGGATATACATCTTGAAGCCAGTCACTGGTGAGTATATGTTGATTAGTATCTGGAAAGCAGTGACCAGTGAAGTTCAACCGGGTCAGTTGTGAGATAGTAACTTCGCCTGGAGTCCCTTCATGGGCTACTGCCGGTCCCAAGCCCG